GAGGTCCGCACGCAGCTCCGGCTGCGGGTCCCTCGGGCGCTGTCCAGGCAGAGCCGGCCCTGCCCGGGCTGCAGCCATGGTAAGGCGGGGGAGAAGGGGTGCGGGGTAGGGCCAGGGCGCGCAGGGCCTGCAGCTCCCAAGAGGCTCGCGGGGACCTGCAGCGCTGCAGCCCTAGCTGTGCAGGGCGGGAGGCACTGTCGCCTGCAGCGGGCAAAGGCGAGCAATGCTCCTTCGCTGTTCCCAAGTTTCTCTCTCTGATCTGAGCAGCTACGGAGCGGGTCCCGACCCCCAGGATGCTGCCGTGTTCTTGGACGAAGGGGCGGGTTGATGCTGGGGATTGGGGGGTGCTGGCCGATAAGCGCTTGTTGTGCAGGGGAGGGCGCGTCAGCGATGAGCGGAGTTGAGGGTCCCCGCCCTTGTTTGGGTCATCTGTTACCTGGTGATGCGCTGTCTCATCCACCCACCCTGGGCTCGGGCCAGCACCAACTTCCTTTGGAAAACACACAGAAGAGGCCCACAAACAGTCCTGCCTCCTCAAGAGGGATGGTGAGACGCTTGGGCCCTCCTTCCCACAACCCGGTAAGGGGCAGCTCCTAGGTCCTTCCTACAGCGCCCTCTGCCCAGGGACCCCTGAGAGAGGGAAGCCCAGCCCACCATTCTACTCGGTGGGGTCAGCTATATCCCTCTGCCTCCAAGACAGGAACCATGGGGGAGCTTCCGCCTGCTGCATCCTACACCACCGTCCTCCAAAACCAGGTCCCTCTGCAGTGGTGGGGGTGAGGGGAACTCATGCCTGCCACCTGCCTGTAGTGGGAAGAGAAACAGTAACCCCAGCCAACCTCCCTGGAGGCCCCCAGGTAGGAAGTTTTAACGTTTGGCTGTAAAGGTTCCAGCTCTTGCCCTGCCACCATAGCTAGAGCCTGCCACAAACATGCTATGCCGGATGTCAGGGCCTTCAGGCCCCGTGCCAGCTTCTCCTCCTAATCTGGAAGACCCCCAGCCTTTGCCCTCTGCACTGGGAGGCACAGGCTGTTTATAGTGGGAAGAGATTCGTGACCAGCCTGTGGGGCAGGATGTTAGTGTGGGCAGCCTCCAGGAGGGCGCTCCCTGGGCCCCATAGAATTAGAAGTTTCTGGGTCTGGAAAGGCCAACCTTTTGGGCTCTTGTCTCTCAAGCTGTGTCCAGGCTGAGGCCCAAGTCTTGGCCAGGAAGTCTTGGTGGCCCTGTGACCTTCTCCAAAGAGGGGTTCCTGGGAGAGGCCAAGTCGTTCCTGTCTTTATCCCTGTGTCTATCCTTTTCCCCCCGTGGAGATGGACAGATTGAATGTTCCAGGGATGGAAGCTGGAGAGCGGGGGGTGCATTGATTGTCTCCAGTGCCAAGTTCACCAGGGGCCAAGAGGGGCTTTTGCTGCCACACACTAAGTTCAGTTCAGCTGAGGTCTTGGTGCTTTCATCTTGGCTAAGTCCATCCTGTTCCTCTCTAATTAAAGACACCCCACCACCACCAGAGTCTTCAGCCTTTGAAGCCAGCCCAGTCCTTAGGTTGACCGGTTCATGTCAAGCCAGACTCCTCTGTGAGGGTCTCTGTGGCAGGAGATCAGTGTCTCAGCTGCTTTGGAAATCAGAGGGGAGAGCTCCTCAGCCCAGGAGTCCCAGGCGTGTTTAATTTGCATGCAAAAAGAATGACAGGCTAACATTAATAACCATCCTGTGACTTGAGATGCACCTCCTCTCCTCAGGTTCAAAGCAATATGAGGTATCTGTCATCTGGGAGTGCTTTCTCTCCCCAGCCTTCCTGGGAGGCAAGGAAGGGCCATTCACAATTGGACATTAAGGCCTTGAAATTAAAAACACTACTCAGAATCACAAAGGATGTTTCTGGCCAAACCAGAAACAACTGCCTCCTGACTGCTAGTCAGGTGCTCTATCTGCACACTCCCAGCCAGGCCTCTCAATTTGTGTCTCACCTAATTGGCCACTCTGAAGCCTCTGGGATGTCAGTCTCCCGTTGGCCTGAACTTATGTCCCTTAGAAACCAAGTACCACCAGCTCCCCCACTGACCCTCTGGAAAGTGATGGGCCAATGGAAATGATACAAGAACCCATGAGTCGGAGGTCAGGTATCCTTGGGTACCTCTGTGGCTGGGGCTTTCTGCAGGGAAATGCAGGGGACAAATTTCTGAAGACAGTGGGGTTCTCTGAGAACACAAAGGGACACTTGGAAGGAAAACTGGATCTGCTTCCATGAAAACCTATGCCTAGGGATATAGGACATCCCACCCTACTTTAGCACTGCTTAAAGTTAAGGCAAAAGAGATTGGAATCCTTTGGGAGAGGAGTTTCCTGAGTGCTGGCCCCATGTACTGATGAGCCGAGACATCTTGGGGACAGCTCACAACCCTCTGACAGGCTTCCGTGTCCTTGGGGGTTAACAGGAGAGGCCAAGTGGATCAAGAGCCTGTGCTGCAAACTTGGGAGGCTGGTGCTGCGCCCACCGGGGTGGGCAGGCATCATGGGGTAGCCAATCAGAGAGGAGGGAACTGCAGAGAAACCCAGTGATCCTGCTGCAGCTGAGCTGTCCTCGGAGGGTGGGAGCCAAGGGAAGGGGGGAGGAGGGGATGGGGAAGGACATTCCACAGGCTTTTTTGGCCCCTGACAGAGACAGGGAGGTCAAATAGAAAGGGAAAGGAGCAAGCCAGGACTCCAGATCACAACAAGAGCATCGAGACCAGGCTGGTTCTGTGTGTGAGGAACTTGCCTGGGAGATAAAATTAGACATAGAGCTTGCCAACCGGGCATCTGAAGCGTGGGACATGGACCGTGCACTGGGATGGCAAGGCAGTTCTGTCCCTGAGGACAGGACTGAAACTGGGGTAAGGTGCTACTTTGGGAGATGGGTGGGCCTGACCTGTCTTCCCCCTGTCTTGACTGGGATTGGGGCTCAGAGTTAGAAAATGATTTGGTCAGTGGCAGAGCTGGGGCAGGGAAGGATAGACAGGAGGCGAGGACCCTGGTGTCCTGACTTCTTGTCTAGAGCCCCTGTGGGCCCCTCTATCTCTTCATGCTGATGAGCAGGCAGGGCTGGCAGGGAGAGTGGTGCTGGGTTCCTGGTGGCTCTGCTGAAAGGCTGTGGGGTAAGGGTCTCCATCAGTGCCTTTCCTGCTGCTCCTCTGCTCCGTACACCTGGGGAAACCATGTGGAGCACAGTCCTCTCCCATCCTTAGCCTGACCCCCAGACCAATTGCTGGGCCACTGCCGGCTCATATAGAGGGTCAGGATTTCCTGGAATTCCCCAGACTCCTTAGCTGCCAGAAAACAAGACCTGCTGCCCCTAAGTCCCATCCCTTCTCTATTTCCATATAATTAATCATCCAAGCTGGGACACTTGAGAATGAAAAGGGGTACAATTAATCATGCTTGGATAGCAAACATAAACTAGGGTATATGGTTACCCCACTGCACCCCACAAATGGCTGAGAAATGCCTGTTAGGTAGGTCAGGACAGCCTCTTCTGGTCACTGAGTCCCCCCTACATGCTGGTTCCAATTTCAGGCTAAAGGGCCTCTTTTTCTGTCCCTGTCCAGGCAAGTCCTAGGGGGTATGGCTATAAGCAGGTGTGGGGACTTGAGAGGTGACATCCTGGAAGTAGCTCTGAGGGAATTTGCCTTCTAACCTTCCTACCTCAACCCCTTCTCTTTGGCATAAACTTGGCAGTGTGCATGTCCACCTCCTTCAGTTCTTCCCTTTGTAAAACGGGGACCCACGGGAAGACTGTGGCCATCTTATCTCCCCCCACTCTGGCTGGGACTCCACAGTGGTCCGGGATAGCCCCCACTGGCTTGGCCAATCCCCAGAGGGTGAGTCAGTCTCTGAAGCCGGCCCTTGTCCATTGTCTGGGGGGTGGCACATGGGTATTGTGAGGCAGAGCTGAGCCCAGCACTGCCAGGCACTCCACAGGGGGACCGTCCCCAAAGGAAAGAGGAAGCTTTAGGGTTGAGAGCCGAGCCCAGCTGAGGGTGAGAATGAGGGGAGTGGCCTCCTTTCCGAGCTGGAGATGGGGTGGAACAGGCCTCTGCAGAGCAGCCAGCATCCTCTGACTACCACTCCTGTGGTTCACAGTTGAAGCCAGAGTCCCCTCCTGCACTGCTAAAGCCCAGCTCCAGGCATGGGAAACATGGGGCATCTGTGGGGTGCTTCTCTCATAGTTAGGGGCTGTCAACAGCTCTGGAGGCCCAGTGTCTTCCCAGTCTACCTCACCTGGTCTCTCCCAGGTCCCCTCCACCCCCCACTTTCAGCATCCGCTGGCAGGTTTACCCTTCTCCCCTGAGGCCCAGGCTCAGGCTCTGGTGTGGCTCAGCATCTAGAATATGGGACGGGGCTCAGGTCAGCTGTATGAGCTCTGAGCATTCCCAGAAGAGTCTGCACCTCAGTCCCAGAGCTCGCTGACCTTCAGTGACAGGAAGCATGGAGCCCCCTGCTGGTTCTTGATTTACCTGGAGTTGGCTTCTCTCTTCTCCCTTGCCTACTTCCCTCTTTCTGACTCTGCGCACTCCTTGAATCCTGAGCCACATTCTCCTATCAGCATTAATGCCTCTCCCTGCGCCCCCTTATTCAGTCTGACTTTCTGGCCTTTGGTGCAGCCCTGGTCTCTGACTTGGCCAGACCCCCAGGAAGGGAAGCCTCAATAGCACCCTGTTGAGACCCTCAGGACTGGACCCTGGGGCCTTTCCTGACATCTTGGACCTATGTGTGACAGGTGAGGGGAGGGGCGGTGAGCACTTCCTCTGGCTTGGCTGCTAGTGCAGTTTCTTTCCCCTCTAACCACAGGCGCTTTCCTCTCTTTCTCACCTTCTCCTGTCTCCTTCCTTCATTCTTCCCTTCCCTGCCACCTACCCCACCTCACCCCAAACCCCCAGATCAAGCGCTTCCTGGAGGACACAGATGATACAGAACTGAACAAGTTCGTGAAGGATTTCCCAGGAAACGAGAGCTACCACCAACCAGAGGCCAAAACCAGGGTGTCCAGGCCCCAAGTTTCGGAGCCAAGGCCCCAGGCACCAGACCTCAACGAGGATGACTTGGAGTTCAGAACCCCCTCGTGGCCCCAGCCCTCTGACAGCCAGCAGTACTGCTCCGCATCAGCCCCTCTCAGCCCCTCAGCCCGGCCCCGCAGCCCATGGGGCAAGCTTGATCCCTATGACTCCTCCGAGGTAGAGCCTCCAACTCTGCCCTTGCCTTTCAGTGAGGAATACCCAGGGAGGGAGCAGAGAGAGTCTGAATGTATGCGTGTGGATGTGCACATATATGTCTGTGTATGCACACACGTTTATGCATCTTGGGCTGGTGCTTCTCTCCGTCCTGTGTGGCCCCAGCTCTGTGGTGTCAGACCCCAGGTGCACTGAAAATTGATAGCAGTATCAGTAGGGGCAGGAACCCAGCCCCACATGCTGGTGATCCAGACGGGGCCTCAGAAGAGTCTGGCACTGCTCCTCTAAGGCTGAGCAAAGACCTAGGAGGGAGGGAGAAGGCTGGTTTAGGGTCCTGGGGCCCTTCCTGCCTCTTGCCCTGATGTACTGTGCCTTCTTGTACACAGGATGACAAGGAGTATGTGGGCTTTGCCACCCTCCCCAATCAAGTTCACCGGAAGTCCGTGAAGAAAGGCTTTGACTTTACCCTCATGGTAGCAGGTAGAGCAGGGTCAGGGTTGGGCCAGGCTGGGGGTTTTTCAGGTGGGGATGGTCTGTGTTGGGGGAGGGGGTATGGGTAGGGAAGGAGAAGGTAGCAAGTGGTTGTCCCTTTTTGCAGAATAGCCAGGAGCCATGGGTGGCCCAAAAGTATGTTACGGGGTGGGGGGTGCAGGGTGGGTAATGCGTGCAAAGAACACTTACCAATAGGTTTCTTGTATTTGCCTTTTTCTGTGTGACCTTGGGCAATTTCTTAGCCTCTCTGGGCCTCATTCAAATGAGCAGTCTGGATAAGCTGTTCTCTCTGTTTCCTTCCAACTCTAAAATGCTCTGGTTTTCTCAATTAGATAAGAAAGCAGTTCTCCTCACTCCTTAGTCTAGTGGGGTTGCCTCTTGGCTATAGATCTTGTCTTCTGATTTGGTGCTTCTGTCCTCTCTCCCCTGTCAGGAGAGTCTGGCCTGGGGAAATCCACTCTTGTCAATAGTCTCTTCCTCACTGATCTGTACCGGGACCGGAAACTCCTCAGTGCTGAAGGTAAGGAAAGGAGGGGAGCCTGAAGACAGGCAGGTGAACCTGACTTTGGAAATCAAACTTGCTCCAGAGGCTGGGGGATGGGGCCGACTCGGCATGCAGGAAACCATGGCTTCTAGAGAGACTGACAGCAACTCTCTATAGACTTAACTTGCCTGGCAGCCCACCAGCCAGCTCCCTAAAGATTTGGGTGCCGAGGCAGGGCAGGAACCAGAATCCTGCCCTTTGAGTGAGTCTCTGACCCCCAAAGGATTCCAGGAATCCAAGAAAAGATCCGGGAGCAGCAGAGAGGCTGGGGCCAGAGCCAACAGCCACCGGCATTTCCTGTGTTGGGAAATGTGCTCCTTGCTGGTTCCCAGAGAACAGGCCCCCAGGCAGCCCCGGGATGGGAAGGGGGGCAGTGTGGATGAGGCCGTCTGGGCAGCCAAGCTGGTTGGGGTAGGCTGTTTGTCCTGACTGGGCAGGTCCTTGCCTTTGCCCTGGCCTCAGTTTCCCTCTTCTCCAGAGCGGATCATGCAAACTGTGGAGATCACTAAACATGCAGTGGACATAGAAGAGAAGGGTGTGAGACTGCGGCTCACCATTGTGGACACGCCAGGTTTTGGGGATGCAGTCAACAACACAGAGTGGTATGTCTGACCAAGCACAATTTCAGCTGCCCACCCCCATCTACCACCCATTCCATACATAAAACAGGGTGCACACATGGGCACAGACATGTCCAAAATTGTCAGGAGGAAGAGGTTTGTGACCTTGAGAATGCCACTGCCCCTTATTGGACAGCTGTCTCCTCTGCAAAGTGAGAAGGAAAAGATTAGAATAGATGATCTCTAATGTTCCTTCTGATTCTGCCCTGTAATTCTATAATGGGGATGAGGGCATAAGATAAGAAAGAAGAGACTCAAAAAAGCAATCATGTGAAAACATATAACATAGGGCCTGACATATATAGGTGCCTAATAAATGTCACCCTCCTTCCTTTTCTTTCACCAGCAACATTTTAGGTGCCACAAACATTTTATTACAGGAGCGAGAGTGTTTGGAGGGAGGAGTGAAAGGGAGAAAGGAGAAGCAGAGGGAAAAGTGGGTGGAACTTCGCTTAAACTCCAACACCCTCTAGGCTACCTGCCAAAGCAAAGGTGGCTTTGCTACACCCCTCTATTATCCCTGGCTTTTTTTTAGGAACTGGAGGGATGCTTAGATAATGGTCAGACCTAAATGAGTAGATGAGGAGACGAATGGATTAAAGACAGGAGAAGAGGTGGTGCCTTTGATGAAGAAGTTAGGCAGGGTGGTGCTAAGACCCCTAGACTGAGTTCAGATCTCGATTCAGCATTTGGTAACTGCATGATCTTGAGCAAATGACTACATTCCTGTTTCTTCAATTGAAAAATACTGACCCTTACCGCCTCACCCAGTTGATCTGAAAATCACCCAGAACAATGCATGTGAATGTGCATTGAAAACTATAAAGGCTGATTACTTTACGCTCATGAATTTTAACATAATTGCAGGATCAGCGCAAAATAAAAATGTGGGGCCCTTTGTTCAAAATTATTTCAAGATACCCACAGCAGAGAAACAAACCAAGCATGGGCCCTTCTGAGTGCGAGGCCCTGCGTGTGACTGCACAGGTCGCACACCTATGCAGCTGACCCTGGATAATTGCCTCACAGACTAATCAGACCCTTACAGATCTTTCTGTGCTTTGAACAACCCCCATCACATGCTTTATCATTACAACATGTGACTTTCGGCTCAGCACACTGGTTCATCTTCAGTTTCACAGTCTAAGCCTTGAGGGAAAGGCCATTTCTTACATTCTTGCCATAGCACTGTGCTAGCACATGGTACAAGGTCTCCATAAATATTCCTGATGGATTGAGGTGGCATCCATGTCACCATCACCCTTCCTGCTTTATGTCTCAGCAGACTGGGCTTGCCCTGAAACTCTAGCTCCAACAAGCACCAGGTTCCTACTGTATTACCCCCTTCTTCAGTCAATCTACTTTGCTCCTCTTACCTTCCATAATTATAATAACCCACTTACCTGGCACT